CCGAACCTACAATCCGGATTTACCTAGATTCAGTAACTTACGCCGAGTCCGAAGACAAGTACTTGCGAGCCAAAGCCGCTGCAGTTACCTACTACCCCCTTGTAGAGTTCACCCAAACCCCAGTACCCACTTTACAGACTATTAACTGTATCCCTAACTATTCCAAACTACCAATCCAAATATTACCAGAACACAGGCCTATTTTTCGAAAAATATCTCTAGTGAGAATTGAACTCTAGACCTGCTGCTTGGGATGACAACTTACCACTACTCTATGTTACCACACCCTTTTTTTTTATTATCCTTTTAGTGCTTTTTTTTTATATTTTTTTAATATTTTTTAACATTTTTTTGATGCTTTTTTCAACATTCTTTAACATTCTTTTGGTGTCTTTTTTTTTATATATTTTTGGTATTTTTTTAATTTTTTCTGGTACTTCTTTTATTATTCTTTCATTATTTTTTTGTTATTCTTTTGTAAATTAAATAATATAATTTTGTATACAATTTAATTATAAGAGAATTGCTAATTTTTACTAGAGGTAAAATTTACCAGGTTGCTATATTTCAAAAACGTACTAGCTAATATCTTTTAGAGATACTAAGTAAAAATATTCAGAACCTCCAAAAACCTTATATCAACTAAAATTGAAACTCTAATGTCTAACTCTAAGCTTTGTTAAAATTTCACTCTAATTTTAAAAATATAAGAGTGGTAATTTTACCTTTGGGTAAATATAGTTATTTTCTAATTATAATAATAAAATTATTAAAAAAATATTAAATAAATATAAAATAGATAGAATTTTTTTGACGAAATAAATGTTTAGGTGATATTCAAGTTAAATGTTAAGATCAGTGTTGAGGTGAATATTGATGTGGACATTAAGATCAATGTTGAGATGAATATTAATATGAATATTAAGATCAACATTAAGATAAACATTGACATAAATATTAAGGTCAATGTTGAGATGAATATTAATATGAACATTAAGGTCAATATTAAGGTAAATATTAATATAAACATTAAGGTCAATATTGAGGTGAATATTGACATGAATGTTAAGATCAATATTAAGATAAATATTAAGATAAATATTAATGTAAATATTGAGATTAACATTGAGGTAAACATTAAGGTCAATATTGAGATAAATATTGACATGAATGTTAAGGTCAATACTAAGGTAAACATTGATATAAACATTCAGGTAAATGTTGACATGAATATTAATAAAATATTAAGGTCAATGTTGAGGTGAATGTTGATGTAAACATTAAGATCAACATTGAGGTAAACATTGACATAAACATTAAGATCAATGTTGAGATAAACATTGATGTGAATGTTAATTGTATTTCATAAAAATTAGTGAAGTGGCTTAGTTATGTGCTGGAAAATTTTTTGTAAGTGATCTACAGGGATTATTCTGATCAATACATCATATGATATATCATAAACATTTGCCTGGGTCAAATTAGATATATCTACCTTGGGCTATTTTGGTTAAATAGAGTATCTCGAGAACTATCGATCAGAATTGCATGGTTTTGGTACCGTTCGATTCGTCTCAATGAGACAAATCGAATGGTACCAGAATCATGTGATTCTGATTGATAGTTCTCGAGATATCGTCGTGCGTCAAATTAGAAACTGCGCCAAATTAGGCATACCTACCTTATATATTAAATAGAAATCATAATAAATTTTTGTAAAAAAAATTTTAAATAAAAATATCTTGATAACTATCCAATAGAACTTGCTAAATTGTTTTATTTTTACTAATCCGAAAAATTAAAAAAATTTTATCAAAAGATTGTTAAAAAATCTTTATCTAAAGTTAAGATCTAAAATATTTTATATTAAATAGAGGTGTTAATACCGCTGGTGTGATGTAGTAAACCGATCAAGATTTAATTAAATAGATAAGTTTATCAAAAAAAAATTTACGTATTTATAAATACATCAAATAAAATCCTTTTATTAATTTTTTTTTCTATTTGATAATCCAGAAAAAAAAACACGCTACGTATCAAAATAGCTTTTTTTAATTTTGAATTGTAGTTTCAGCAACTATATTAAAAATATACTGTATGTATACTTATAAGTAAGCTAAAAGGTGATAGTGATTATTATAATCAAAAATTCATCTTTATTGTTTTATACGTATCGGTATATAAGAATTATTTACGTTTTTAAATACTCAATTTTTGTTTAATATCAAGATTTTTTTTTGTTGGCTGTGCAAGTAAAAATAATTATTTCATGTGGTCTATTATCTTAATCCAAATCATCTTAGTCCATATACAGTATATATTACCGAAAGTGGCGCATTTAAAAATAGCAAAATCCGATTTCAGAATAACGCCAATGGGCGTTATGAAATAATATGCACCTGATTTAATGTGGCATTAGGACTATATATGTAGTAGTGCAGAAACCAGGTCCAGAAAATCGGGTTTTTGTCTCGAAATAACGTACGTACAGTACGTACGTACGTACATACATGACATATTCGAGATAACGTGCAGCAAATTGTTTCGAGAATATTAACGTATCGTTTATCTTTAAATTTCAATTGAATTAAACTTTACAAAAATTAACGGGTGTCTATATATGTAAGATATATTTTATTTATATACATATTATATATTTATTTAATTTTTTTTTGATTTCGTATAATATATATACGTATAATATACATACTAAACTAATTAATAAGGGAGCTATATATATATATACATTGTTCATTATTTCAAATTTGCTATTATCTAAGTTATAGTAAATAAAAAACTATATCGATATGGTGAATAGTATATAGTAATGATAAGTTTTCTATAAATCATTATCTAAAATGATAAGTAAACGAAATAATCTAATTCTGTAATTAATATTAATAATGGTTAAATTAATAAAATTTTTAATAAGTTTACTATAACAAGTTTTTAATTTTTTTAAATATATTAATAAATTCTAAGGTTATAAATTAATAATATTATACTTTTGTAATTTGAAACACTTCATAATCATCGATCTTATTAATTGCATTGATAAAACTTCTAATACCCGGATAGGTTTTAAATCCATTACTTCTAGCTTGATTGTTAACAAATATCAGATCAATTCCACCACCCCATCCCGGACCATAATCAGAATTATAATAAATTGCTTTATGCTTATCAGCTACTCTCGCTATGTTAACATTAAAAAGTTGCTTATTCTTGAAAGAAAATATAAAACTATCGGTGGTGCATAACCAACTATCATTGGATTTTATTGGAAACCCTCTTTCGAAATTAATTGGAGTATACGCGCCTATAATTTGACCAGTTTGAAATACCTTTGAAATTACTATTGTAGGACCTTTCTTATCGCATAATTTATGAAAAGTATTTGCACCAAAACCATCTCTGCTTGCTCTTAATAATAAAGATAACTTGTAAGGGGGACGTTTATTTTGATAATAGTTAAAATCTTTTTTATCCACCCAACTTGAAATTATGTTAACATGATTTTGATCTATGATAACAGAATCCAGGAGTGGTAAGTTTTGCATTGATCTATTCAAGGTTAGAGAGTAATTAAAATTAGGAATGTTCATCGTGTGATGACGTAAGATATCTTGAAATATGGATTTAGGTAAAATTTTTTCGAAAGGGTAAACATCTTGAAAGAAATCATCAGAAGGAATATCCATCCATCGAATCAACGGAATAAATTGATCCAGGATTGTTTTTAATTTAGAAATCGATTCGAAAGGTAAATTCGACAAATTTTTTAAAGGAATTATATAACCCCAAGAGTCTACTGGCAACTTGTTGTTTGTTATCTTTGACATACCCCATAATATTAAATATTTCCAAATATCGATTTCCTTTACACCAAGATCATCACAACTGAGTATTAAGAATAAGACAGATTTATCTAACCAAAGGTATTTTTGAGTGCAAAATAATTCACCGGAATTTTCACATATTACTTCTAAGCAATAATTTTGAAGAGTTGAGCAAGATTCCAAATGAAGTATAGTTTCAAGGACGTGAGCGGCAAAGTTGCGGACGAAACAAGTCTTTTTTTCAATTAAATGTTCTTGTATGTAGCTTATTAATTTTTGCATCCATAATTCTTCAGCAGCCATTAAGATTTGGAGTAATTCAGGACCGGTAGAATTATCAAGGTCGATGAACGCAGTATACATGTAACTATTAGAAAAAAAGAGTAAAAAATCGAATGATAAATATATTATAGAAAAAGAATATAAAAAGATTAGATGTAATAAATAAATATAAAATAATTACTTGAGTATTATTTGAAAAAAACGAGGAGAAATTGAGGGTTCTCTAAAAACGATGAAGCCACCTTCTTTATGAGTCCAATTACTGGAAATAGCAGCGCGGAAATAGGGACATCTAGCACTCAGAATAATTGAATGAGCTTTAAACTCTTTCATATCATTCCCATCACCCGCTTGTATTATAACGTCATGGCCAGTACAATTCTCGAGAATATAACCCAAATCATTAGAAAGATCTGTTAAGAAAACCGAATTCATTTTTTTTAAGTAATAAATAACTGAAGTAAAGCTTTTTATATAAATTTTTAGGCTTTTAGGGAATAAATATTTATTTTATCCCCCACATTTTGGTTTATAATTCCAAAATAAAACTTAGGAAACAAAGAAATATTTTTAGATTCCTGATGTTAATAATAGTTTAAATATTAACTGATAAAGGGTGTCAAACAAAGTATGTATCACATAATGCGCAGGTATTTTTGCATGTTCTATAAATAAAATTGAATATTTTTGACGTAAAATCGGTCATACGAAATTAAAAATGTAAGTTGATAAACAATAGCCATTGGTTACATTTTTATATCGTGTGATTTTGTGTGATTTTTTAATCAATCATTAATACTATATTAGATGAATAATGAAATAATATTTATACGTACGTACGTATCTGTTATATATATATATAATATTTGAAAATCACTTAAGTGACTTTTTAATTCACCGCAATAAGCTCAACAACAAATTTGTCATCAATGAATGAGATAAATTTTTTGGTGACATCAAGTCATATGGTACGTACAGTATTAAGCAGTATAGATTAACTATACCTACGTAGCAGCGAAATTATGAATTTATTAACGTTTGTAAAATTTTATTAATACTTTTAAAATTCGTTAAATTGAATATTTGGTCAAATTGTGTAGCAGCAGAGTGATTGTCTCCTGATTCTCCCGATCCCCCTGATTCTTTTGACTATATTATTAAGATTTTATTAAAAAAATTGTAGATTATTAATAAAGAAATAAACTCGAATTAAAGTGTATCAGATTCATTAAATTAATGGTATTTTTTACTTTATGAAACTTGTTTTTTTTAAATAAACTCAAGGGCTAACTAAAAAATGTCTTATAATAATCACTAATATATACGTAGTAACAATGCACCTATACCATATCGATATAATTCTCACGAGCTTACGTAAAAATATTCAACTCCTTAAATGAGAATATGTACTTTGATCAAAAAATTTTAATACTGTATACAGATTTAGAACTAAGGGAACCGTTTAACCAAAATTGTTTCATAGTTCCGGTTTGAGTCATGTTTGTCGCTGGATTAAGCGGTTAAACGGTTAATCGATTTCCAATTCAATTATATTCTATATGAGTGCGTGAGAATGAAAACCTGGAAAACGATCATAGTAAATCAAGTAAATCATTAAATCAGTTTCCAGGTTTTCACTATCACGCACTCATATAAATCACTAAAATTCATTTTATTAACGTTAATAACTGAGCCCTTTTTTTTGGATCTCGCAGTATAGGTAACACCACTAATAAAATGTATTATTTATCAATTGATTTAGAATAGGTGTCACCCATACCGCAGGATATCCTTTTTTTTTTACATATCTGCTAAATAGATCGAATTACACATCTACTGAATAGATTCAGAATCAACTTTAAGTTAATTCAAAGTTTTATAACCACCTAGATGGATTTAAAGTTTCATTTCAACTTAAGGATATTTAAACAGTGGTCAAATTTAGAGTGTTCAATAACACTTACAATACATATATTGTATTCCTTTGAACGCATAGTTCTAATTTGAAAGATTTGTTAACTATATATAGTTGGATATATAATATAATGCAGGAAACTTTTTTATGATCGTCTATCCGAAACCTTTAGTAATTTAAACAGTGCATCTCGGACATATCATCAGAAATTCAATAAAAGGTCACGTGGATTATTTTATTTCTTTAATAGATTTCTCTCGGGATTAAATTCCTTTGAAACTGGAATTCCAATTTTAGATTACCAATAGTTACCATCTGTATTATCATATAATTTACCAAAACAAAATATGCCGCAGAAATGTTACTGAGGGTCAAATTACTAAATTTGAATAAAATAGATGTTGTATCAAAAATACGTAGTAAAAGAAATTATAAAATACGTAACGATAATGAAAAATCAAAAGTGGTTTGTTATAATAATACCATAAGAATAAAGAAAAAAAAATGTCAACTTCTTGCTGATGGTTATAATTCTGATGTGATTATTCAAGCAGGAGATGGAAAAGATGTTCAAGAATTTCGTGTACATTCACTTATTCTGAGTGCACGATCACAATATTTTCGCATTGCCTTATCGGATCTTTGGGCACGAAAAAAAAGGAAATAATGCCATTCTCAAAAAACCAGATGTTTCTCCAAAAATATTTCAGTTGCTATTAAAGTACGTATATAATTAAATTTATCTTCATTTTAAATTATATCGAATAAATATAGACAAACTAACACTAATTTAACCAAACTAAATTTAGTTATTTGTATACAGGGGTCATAAATTTTGATTCTTTGGATGGAATTATAATCTTACAAATCTTAATTGCCGCTGATGAATTAAACTTAGATCGTCTTCTAAATCGTGTTAATGATTACTTGATCAGTAAACATGCCGAATTCATAAGAAAAGATCCTGGCCAAATACTTCAAATCACCTTTAAATATGAGTCTTGTTCAAAATTGAGAGATTATTGCCTTAAAACAATTAGTGAATCTCCGGAAATACTTTTTAGTTCGCCGGATTTTCTATCTTTGGATAAGTCAATCTTTCTCCTTCTGCTTGAACGTGACGAATTAAAAATGGAAAATATAGATATCTGGAAATATATGTTAACGTGGGGCGCTTCTCAAATATCAAATACTTTTACTATAAATGATGTATCACATGATATTTCTCGGTTAAAAGATTTACTTCAAAATATCGATATTTTTTCGTTAAAAAATTTACTTCAAGATTTAATTCCATTAATTAAATGGCTCGAAATTTCATCTGCTGCATTTTGGCAAAACGTTGTTCCTTTCAAAGAATTATTTCCGGATGATCTTTTCTGGGCTATCATAGGTTGTCATCTTGATCCTACTGATGAATCTGTCTTAAAATCATTACCTCAAAGATGTTTACAAAGTCTACCATTATTGGATTCCGTGATCTTTGATTCAAAACATTTTTCGATCATCACAAATTGGATTAAAAAACAAGATATGGATCATTTCGAAAAAAAAAACCTTACTTATTCATTCTCACGTTTACTTCGTGCTTCTCGAGATGGTATATCATCTGGATCCGTGTCATTTCGCCGACAATCAATTCATCGACAATCCATTTCACCGACAATCAATTCACCGACAAGTTTATTTCGCCAACAACTATTTCAACGACAGCCTATTTCACCAACAAGTTTATTTCACAGACAACTATTTCAACGACAGCCCATTTTACCGACAAGTTTTTTTAAAAAATTGCACTAACCTTAACTCTAATTCTAATCTGACCCTAACGAACATGACCAGAATTATTTTGTCGGTGAAATAACTGTCGGCGAATTGACTGTCGGTGAAATGGGCTGTCGGTGAAGTGATTTCGGCGAAATTAGATGTTTTATTACGAGGTTCTCCTCTTTAGATGAGGAAATGACAATATACATAGACACTAGAATTTAAAGAATCTTTACAAACATTATATAGTTTAAATTTTATTTTTATTTATTTATTTACTAAAGTTTCCATTTTATTTCTTCTTCGAGGACTTTTTTTCACGTTTTCTCATTTCATAGTAATATCTTGGCGTTTTTCTATTTGTAACCATTTTTGAAATCTTATTTAATGGCTTTTTGGATTTATTTGTAATATCTGTTATTCTTTGCGCCCTTTTTTTATTTACGACCTCTCTTGCTCTCTCCAATCCTCCTACTATAGTTAGTATCAGTTGTCTTAATTTGTAGATCCCAGATTTCCTTCGGGCAGATACCATCATAGGCTGAGGGATAGCATTTCTATAAGCTTGAAGTTGCTCTTTAACAAGAGTATGTTGACGTGCAAGATCTGGTGTGATCACTAGGTCACATTTAGTTAAGATTATCTGAAATTCCACATTCTTTCTGGTTCGTTGTATATATCGAGTTAGCTCTTTTGTAAAAAAAAACAATAATAATTAACTAAAGAAATAAGAATAGATCAAAGTAAATTATTAACCGCTCAAGCATTGAAATAAATTCTTTGTCTGCTATTTTAAGACCTGTTTATCAAAAAATCAATTATTTAAAAAAAAAATTTTTTTTAAATATTTTAAAGTTTATTTTTCTAATAATAGCAAAAAAAAAATAAAAATAAAAATAATAACCATGCCGAGCATCAATTATCACAAAGATCCTTTTCAAAGTTTTCCTTTCTGATATATAAGTTTCTATCTATTCTTTGAAAAATAAGGATATCATTACTTTTTGTATAATAATATAAATTGAATTATAATCATAACGCACCAATTCTTTCCATTTGATCCTTTCTTCATCTTTTGCATAAGCAAATCCATAACCAGGCATATCAACCATATTAAACATATTACCAGCAGCGTAAAAATTGATTTGCTGCGTTAATCCTGGTTTTTCAGACGTTCTAACTACTGTTGTATCAGCCAATGCATTGATTAAAGATGATTTACCAACATTAGATCGTCCTAAATAAATCAAACGAAAATATAAAAATTTTTCCACCTCAATTATATTATGTTTATTTGTTATGTTGATTTGTTATACTTATTTGTTATGTTTATCAACCGCTTACCAACAAAACATAATTCTTGAACCCTCTCGGGTGGAAAAGACGTTGGAACTTTGGCACCCGCAAAAAATGATAAATGAGGTAACTTATAATAAAATGTAATACATAATAATGAAACTTTGATGAAATTTTGAACCTATTTTTTTTAGTTACGCAAAAACACGTACCTCTAATTGTTCCTCTCGTTCAGATGTCAAATCTCCAAGTTTACGTTCTAATCTTTTCTTTCCAATAATACTTACTTTTTTTCCAAATTGATTCCCTATACAATTTCGAGGTTTTCCTAAGTTAAGTGCCTCAATTTCACGTAACGTTTCATGAGATGGTGATATTTGTCGAAACTTCTGACGATTAGACAAAATTTTGGGTGTTTTTGGTCGAGTATTAGGTATTGGTAAGGTAACAAATTTTTTTGTAAAAATTGGTAGCAGACGCGCTTTGTCAAGAGGAAATTTTATTATATGCATCCTATTTATATGCCCATGAATTATTTAATCGTTTTTAGAGTTTATGCGTATGAGCAGGGTAGATTTTAAATATGATTTTTTATATAATTCCTTGTTACACTACTGGCAGTGCCGATTAAGGATAATGATAATCGGGCTTTAAAAAAATAATAACGATAATCATTGCTTAAATTTATAACAGCTGTAAAGTAGATTTTTCGAAATGGAAATGTGCTGAAGCTTATAGTATTTAAATTTGTTTTTTTTTTGGATTTTCTTTCGATAATATTAAAATATGTTGTAAGGTCAGTCTTTCTATAAACAACAATAAAAAAACTTTTAGTTGATTTTTAACCCAGAAATTGATTTTTTACAAATTCAATAATATATTATAAAACATTTGGTTATACCTATATTTAATGAATTTTTACACAGATATTTGTTTAAATCCTAATGTTATTCATGAATAATAATTATGTAAAAAAAAATCATCACAGCCTTAAAACGGCTTAAAGTCACTATTCTTCATCAAAATTTCATCGATCGAGATGTTCTTTTCTTTATCAATCTTGACACCTTTAATTATGACATCGTTCTGGTTAATCTTGTAACATAAAAATACGTTCTAATTGATTGTCGCTTGATTGATTGCGAAGGAATAATAATCGTAATTTGTTAAAAAAAACCAACGAATTTGGATTGTTGATTTTCAAAATCACTAATTAAACAGATTATTTCATTCTTTCCGATTGGGTTGCGATCCCTTTTCACATAATGAATAATGAAATTAATATCCTCATATTTTCCAACAAGCATAATTCGATTGTTAATATAGTATGCTCTACACTTGATGCCATTTTTATTTAGCACATCCACTATATTTAAACCTCCGAGGTACTACTCTGTAAAGAAAAAAAAAAGTGAGTAACAATGTTATCATCGCACCTTCCTGGATGCGGAATCCAGGAGATAGAAACCTTCACGGGCGACTTCCTGTAAGAATGTGCATGCAGGACTCACTCAACCGCAGCGTGTCTTGCATTCCTATCATGCTAAACTATCATCATCACTTAATAAACGAACTCAGTGAACAAATGCTCACCTTATATTTTTCTTAGAATTTATGTTGGATATGTTAGAGTAATTCGCGTTGGATATGTCAGGATATTTCATGTTGGATATGTCAGAATAATTTATGTTGGATATGTCAGAATAATTTATGTTGGATATGTCAGAATAATTTACGTTGGATATGTTAGGGTAATTCCTATCTTTAGGTGCGTCTTGAGTCATATCTTGAAGAGAAACTAGAAATTGTCGGAGATGTTTATATACTTGTCAATATTACCTTGTGTTACAGGAAAAAATCGCGATGTTTTCATGATGTGTGTTTAATTTCCTAATTAGGGGGACGTCTAAAGTGGAGTAGATTCTTATAATATATATTAACGTCCCTGACTGTAATTGCTGACTCGGGGTAGCCAATCATTCGACTGTCCTTGCTGAATTTTATATGTAGGTAACAGTATATCTTATTTAATACTTCGAGTACTCCGATGTGGTGTGGTGTTGAAGGTTACTCGGTTGAAATACACACCACATCACCCTAACATCCCTACATACATACGTGGCACTGCTCCAATAGAGACTGGAACGCTAAAATTTTTTTTAATCATTTAACCGTTTGACCATGTTGACCTTCTAATTCAGTCAACATTAAAATAATTCGGCACAGAATGATGAAATAATTTTTACATAGAGTTTGGAATCGGTTTTATAAGTTAAAATCTGTTCCAAACTTTAGCATTACAAAATGTTTTGCACCATGGTAGATCTTTCCATTAACCGATTGTTTATTTATCAGAATTTTATTTGCGTGAAACAGCATTATATTAGAATGAAATGTTGCGAAACATTCATATTTGAAAATGTCATCATTGACTTCTTTAAACCTGGAACTTTATGAAGTCCAGTCAAAAAGATGGCCTGCTTCGGGCCGTCACATTATGGCACAATATGACGAATCTACAATTACTGTTTATCAAGCATTTAAACCTTCCATTGCCCATTATGCTGTTGAAAATCAAAAATTTGGTGGTCCAAGTTTTTCATGGTTTTATTTTAATTTATTTAATTCATTTAACACTTCACATTTATCTTTATAAATGCGTATGATTGTTTAAAATAATGCAATCGCTTTTTTTTTTGTTTATAGGGAGGTATGAAATTTAAAGATACCACCTACTAGTATTATTTAATATGAATAACTTTTTCTTTTTTTGATAGAGAATGACGTGGATAAAGCCTAACTTTGCTTGGATGATGTATAGGTCTGGATGGGCTACAAAAAAAGACCAAGAAAGAGTAAATAAACAGAATAATGTAATTCATAATATGTATTGTCGTGGTTGAAGCTGAGATCGGAGAATTGACCTTATTTGATAAAATTTTTGGGCGCATTGTTTTAGGATTCTTTTTATGGTTTCTTTTTAGGGTTAGGCTAGGAGTCATGATTGGAATTTTTAATAAAAGAGCATACCCCGTATTGTCGCGAAATAACGGGCATGGGCGTTATTTAGAATAATGGCCCAAATTAAGCTTAATTTAGGCCGAAATTCCTAATTTCCTCCTGCGCGTTATTTCGCGACAATACGGTATGTGAATTTTATAGGTTTAGTAGACTCAAATTGAGATCTCAAATCTCAGCATCAGCTGCGACATGTATTATTATAAATTTAATATGTATCAACTATTTGTTGCTATAGATTTTGGCCATCAAAATAACTCTTCAAGGATTTCAAACAATTCTTTCAAATGCAGTCGCTTCATCATATGGGCAATCTAGAAATATCTTTGCTAGCGAAGAAGAATGGAATGTAGCATTAAAAACTTCAGATATTAGATTACAATGGGATCCTGACCATGATTTAATTGGAGGAAAACTAAATCGTAGAGCAATTCAATTAGGTATTCGTAAAAAGTTCTTGGATCAATATTCTAATGAATGGATTCAAAGCATTGAAGATATTACTGAGTTTGTTAAAGAGCAACATAAATTAGTGGTAGAGGAAAAATTTGATCAAGTTATGACACCTTTTGAAATGGTTTATGATGTTTCAAAAGAGCTAAGAGAAAGAATTGGTTTGGATATTGTGAATGAATAAATAATTAATATATCATCATGAAATTTTGAAGCCTAATTGCAATCGATTATAATCATTCATATCGATTATTGCGGTTGGCAAAATGTTGTAAAATTTGTTTCTTCTGTAGAAATTGCTAATAGTGATCACATGATAATGATCACTGATCTGACCCAATCAGATTCGTATCCCATAAAAAAAAATAAAATTTTTCTTTAAAATACAGTATTCTATTTGAATTCTATGAATTAATAGAATTCAAGAAAAAATTTTCATCGAATATGGTTGAGATATCTTTTTGCTCAATGTCTGAGAAAAATTTTGGCGCAGCTTCGACGATTTTTATTTGAGTTCTATGGTTAAATAAAAAAAAGTCTTATTGAATTTGACCAGGTAGCTGTCGAGATATCTTTATTTAAAGTTTGAGGAAATCTGGCGCAACTTATATTTGATAGGTGTTTTGATTTTTGAGCGAAAATATCTCAATAATCATCTGATCGATTTCGATTAAAATTTTTTTTTTTGTATTTGAATTATATGGACTCTCAGAATTCATTAAAAAATTTTTATCGAATTGTGCGGTATTTAACGGTTATATATATTAATATTTTCTTTAAAACAAATATTACATTAAAATTGGTTTTTATTATTTATAAGAAAAGGAATATTTTCAAAACGATTCTTTTCAATTTTACGATTGGAATCCATAAGTAGATTAATGGCGGTGTCGATCACGTGATGATCGACAAATAATTCTAAGCTGTGATTCGCTATTGCTTTC